CGGGCCTGCCCCGTGTCGGGCTGCCTCTTCCATTCCTCCAGGCATCGCTCGGCAAGTTCGCTGTTACAGAAGGGGGAAGCCCTAAAGTTAAATAGCCGTTAAACTGCTTCAGCGGGAAGATTATCTGACAAGACGTTTAAGATGCCCTATGAGGTGGATGGTGACAATCAAAGTGTAGCGCTAGAATAAAACATACTGGGCTCCTCGGCCCCAGCTCGTTTGCGCTGTGCTTAAAATTCCTCTCTGTGCAAGTCCCAGCAAGTCAGAGGCCGTGCATGTAAAGAAAATGGGATTTTAGCTGAAGGCCTAAAGTACTGCCTCTTTATTTGTTTAAAAGGTTAAAAAGAGCGTCTATACTGATTAAAAAAAACCAATCTGTTTCTGGGAGCCTGCTACGTACACAAAGTTAGGGGTTTTTTATTTAATAATTTTGATAAGTATTTTCAGGGTGAAGGAGTGAAAATGCCTATTCATTAATCATAGCCCTAGCACAGATAGAACAAGAAAGAAAACGAAAAGCTAGAAAATTGATTCGGTGTTCAGTGCATTTCAGTGCTTTGCAAACGGGAGCTATGTGAGCCCAGGCTCAGCTGTGCTGATACAGGCAGACCCTCAAGTAGTGTCAAACGACAAGATCAGTTCTGTGATGATGAGTAAGAGGAATGCTCTTAACTGAAACTCTCTGGAAATAGAAAAAGCCTTCAAAGTGTAGAATCAACCATATACGTTTATCTTGCAGCACTAAGGTATATGAATTTAATAGTGATGGAAAATGATTTAATTTAGAACAGGCACAATTTATTTAAAACCAGCTTTGAGTACTTTTTTCCCAGCGTGTTTATGCTGCCTGTAAACTTGAAGTCCCATTATCTTTCCCATGACAAGGAAACCCATTTTAAGTGAACTGTTTTTCTTTCCCCACAACTACTCTTTCATCTGAAAATGCTGTTAATTATGTTTAACGACTGGAGAAATTCAGCTACTACAAAGTTGGGAGGAAGGAGATACAATAAGCTACGGAACAATACAGCTTCTCATATTACTAGCATTTGGCAGTTTCCTACTTAAGTCATTGCCCTTTTAACCACAAGTTGCACTTAAAATTTGTTAAGCTTAGTAGTGGTTGAGTTTAATCTCTTTTTGCTTCACTTACCCGGACATACATTTCTGTAACAGGATTATTTGTGCAGTCTCTGTATTTATTCACATGACATAGTAACATAACTTATTCTGAAAACCTCTGGTCAGAACTCTTTTTAATGAAGTGATTAATGGGGGAGAACTGGTTTGCTGTCCTGTTATTTACCCCATTGACAGGTACTTCCTTGAATTTGGAGGGCGGACAAGAAGCAAACAACTGAAACCTTAAGTGGAGACCAAACATGTGAAATGTCAGTCCCAAAAATATTAAACAAAGGTAAAAGAAGGAACAGAGTCAGAAATTGCTTTGAGACCTGGTAGGATTTAAAGAGCGTACCTGAAAAAAATCCACTGCCTCTTGTTCTTAGTGATTTCTTTGACAGGTCTTGTGCTAAACACTCTAAAAAGGGGAAACAGCGGTATAATTAAAAACACATAGCTATAGAGACAACATTCTTACGCTTTTTTCAACAGTCAGCTAGGCTAGACTAATATCTGCTGTCATGCTTATTTATCTTCCTCTTAGAGTGGATATAAATGAAAAAACAGCAAAACTGTACAACATGCTTAAAGTTACAGCATAGGATAAATGCAACATGGTGAGGCTTTTCAAAAGGAAATCACAGGATGCTGCATCCTAGGCACCTAAATTAAAAAATTATCCTCTCTTAGTGCTTAAAAGTTACTGAAAGTCATTGAAACCTCATTGCTTACTGAAGAGTTTTGTACTTGCCTGCAGTCAGAGCTTCTGTCAGTCTAGAGTTTCATCTGACAAAATCCGATTGCTTCAGCAAGTGCCACCTCTTCTATGTTGTTCCTGTGGTCTTAGTCTGTCCTGTCCTAAAGTCATAAGCCTGTAAGAGCAGGGGATTCCCAATTGTGGGAGTTATTTTGCCGCAGCAGCTTACAGGATCGTGTCTATCGAATTGCAGTTAGCGAAAGACTATTAAACAATAGAGAAGATTAGATCAGTATTTTCTTTTGTGTTTACTACTACTACAACAAATTACAGGGGAGCGTATTCTTTGGCAAATGACATATCAAAACGTGTCAAGCATTCTATTTGGCTTCTTTTTGGAAAGTGAGAAATAGTACTGATCTTAAAACATTTAAAGTTCATTAATATTTGTTCTTTGGTGCCATCTACTGAACTTAGTCAGGGACCAGCACTATAAAACACTCACTAGCATAGATCTTGTTTGCAAAGGCAGGCCAGAACCCACATCTGGAACAGTGCAGCCCTTTGCTTGTTAGCTCATTTATTGCTTCTGTAAACCTTCATTGGCTTCCAGGCAGACCCAACTTCAGTTCCTGTAGTAGAAACAACAGACCAAAAGTATAGGGAGGATCCTTTTGTATAGGATATTGTGTAGTGTGCTGAGTAAAAATCTTGAGACACCTGTTGTCTGTTGTGATCTCACCAAATCACAATGGAAAACTTCTTGCTTGGAGAGAGGAAGACTGTTAACATCCAGTACAAAACTCCTGAAAGTAGAAGCAGTGAGGGAGGAAGGAAAGAATGTTTGTCCTTGGGTTTGGAAGTGGATATCCAAATTGTCACGCTGCTGCTGCTTAGAAGGCTCTTTCAGTTTCTTGTCATAGCTGCTTTACCCTTCCCTTCTCAAGTCTGCTGAAATGAACAGTGTTGTCTCACGCTGGCATTGCTTTTTATCCTGGTACATGTCATTAAAGCGCCATAGACGTTCATTTCAAAATAGCATGTGGTCAGAATTTCAAGTTTTATGTAAGGATGTAGGTGCTAGGCTTCTTTCCATAAACATGACACAGTCCTGTGTGGGCTGTTTTACACTTGGCCTACATGTTAAGAGGGACTTTCACGTAACAAGCTGCCAGGCAGGAAGAACACAGTTTTGTGGATCATCTTTTACAGTAATGAGGGCAAGAAGGGTGATACCAAAATATAACAGAGTCTTCAGAACCCATTTGAACTAGGAATTTGTCAGAGTGGCTTGCTAACCTACCCATAGCTTTGGCTTTTAATTTATTTAAAGTGTGTTATGTCGCTAAACAGACTGTAATCTCTCTACCTTCATAAGCTAATAGACATATTAAAGTGGTGTGTGGAGTCCTTTGTGTTCAGTTTGCACAGTAATGAGAACACCCTTAAGAGACCCAAGCAAACAACAGAAAATAGTTTGATAGAGCTGCTTATTAGTTCTGAAGAGAATGTAATTGACTAAGTAACTTGAATTTGCGTGAAGAATTTCATCAATTTAGAGAATATACAATCACATTTCCAATCTTCATTTTGACTGGTAGCTAATACTTGTTAAAATTTTGGCTTGCAGTTGAGCTGTTGCTGTAAGAAGCTGCTTTTGGGTCTGCATAGGGTATTTCCACAGAAATTAGCTAAAACATAAACCAAAGTGAAAGATAACAAAGGAGTAGTTAGTGAAAGACAAGCAGGGACCACTTGCTTTGATTTGACTCTCAGAGGCTGGCCAGTCCCATTCTGTTCACAGTGTATGTGTTTCTTATGTTTTTTGGACTTGTTACTATTGGACTAAAAGTTAAGACAACCTCTCCTCGAAAATGTACCTGTGGCCTATGGTCTGTCACCTCAGCTTCTTGGAATTCTCTGGGCTTTCCTGTTTCAGTGGTGTTCCTGATGCTTTCCAGGACTTATCTTTGGGATTGGTCTCTGTCTAACACAAGTCAAGTTGGAAGACTAACCTCTTCGATACTCTCCTCTACATTTTTGGTTCCAAAGACTGCCTCTTCCTATGCAGCAGAACTGATAAAGAATCCCCAGGATCAATGTAATTGATGAACTCTGAGTTATCAGCTGTGAAAATAAACAGTCTTGTGAATTGCCTTATATCTGCTTCAGAAAGGTATGAATGGCTTCGAAAACACAGAGCAGCTTACAGTTGTAGGAAGAGATCATTGCATTAGTTTGGGTGAAGCTTTTCTCCCATCCCTGCTCACCCAGTCCAAAGATCTGTGACTTTTTTACTTTGTGACAGTATCTTGTCTCTCATGCCCTAGAAGCATGGTCGTGTTGATTTTTCAATCTAAAAGTATGAGCTTCTTTTGGCAATAACAAGTCAGTTTATGATTAGTGTACACATTGGTGTAATTGAGGGCTTTCCAGAGACTCCCAGATCAGAAATATGTAAAGAAATCATTGGCTAGTGAGGACAAAACTCTTTATCAGCAGTTAGCATGATACAAATATTAAATAATAACCATGATAAATAATATCCTTACACTTCCTATTCTTGTTTGTGTCTAATTTCCTTTCTCAGAAGTTACAGCTATCATGTTCCTGTTTCATTTGGATGAACTCAACTGGGTAGGAGTCTCCCATAGACATGACTGCTGTTCTGATTTTGATGTTGTATCAGGGAGTTTCAAGCTGTATTGAGATGCCACTTGCTGTTTAGTTGCCTGTCTCTCTTTAATGACATTTAATTCTGATGCAAGACATTTCCTTTTTATGTGTCAATCTTAGCCCAGTTGTATTCATCACACACTTGACAGGTCCCCTGCCTCTGGTTATGATGCACGTGTTGGAATGTCTGTTCTGTCTTGGAGTTCGGAGTAGCTTTGTAGAGAGCCACCTCTTTGCCAGCAGTCAGGTTAGGTACTCAATTTGGAATTTTTTTTCTGTGACCAAGTATTTTTCCTCTCTTCTAAAGTGCATTCCAAGTCAGTCTTTCATTTAAGGTCAGAAAGTGCATTTGGAGTCCTATCCACGGAGTATTCTGGAACATAATGACAGAAAAGACAAACAGGCACAGCTGTCCAGGAAACTCAGTATTTTGTGTAACTGAAAACATTTAAGTATCTCTGTGTTAATTGTTATTATTTAGGGCTTACAGCTTGTTGGGGGAACTGAGAAAAGAGCAACAGAGATTAGTGTATTGCAGTGACTCTTAGCAAATTTTGTCAATTGTGTGTAGGGACCACTGCAAGTGCAGGTGTGGAAAGACTACTGAAAGTTCTTGCAGTGCCTCTAGCATTTATGCAGTTGTGATGCGTTCCCAGATAAATGCATTAAGTGTGGCTTTCACGTTAAAGGCTGTAGAAGACTCAAAGAACATAAAACTAGTCGCAGAAAGTATTTTCATTACATGGTGTACTTCTGGAAAATTCAGATTATTAAGAAAAAGCCACTATGTTCTAACTGGAAGAGTATTAGCATGAAATGTGCTCTATTATTACAAATAAAATCAAGCTATACAGAAAAATGTAACTTCTGAGAGCTACAACCTACCTAGCATCCTTAGCCTGCTCTATTGCCTTTCCTTTCTTGTACATCTTAATCTCAAAAAACAAACTGTAGAACAAAATGTTGCTATGTTCTAATCCTAAATCATTTAAAAGAGGAACTTGATTACAGTGTCTTGTCTTACAAAGTGCTTGTGCAGCAGTTTGTGCTCCAGCTCATTACACTTCTTTGCTTCTCATTTTAAAATATTTTTAAACTCTCTTCCATTTCTATATGAACGTTTAGATTTAATGTATTCTCCAGAATTTAGAAAAATGCTCTCTCCTTTATTACACTGGAGTATTGTCACAGCATGTCTTACTGGAAAAGTGGATTCACCTTCAATATATGTAGCTCTTGTGCCAGGTGATTATGAATTTCTTGAAGTCTAGTACATCTTTCTCTCACCAATACGTGTAGAAGATTTATAATGATGTAGCAAGGCAGCTAAGTCTGCGGAGGATACTTGAGTCTCGTACCTGTACTTAAAAGAAATTCCTCAGCTTGGTAAAAAGCAATTTTCTGTGGCTTGACTTACCTGATCTCAGGACTCTTTCTTTCTCTGTGTATTGTAGAAACTGGTTACAGATCCCTGAGCAAACAGAGCTCTGAAAAATAAAAAATGCTGAAGATTTTGCTAGTGCTTATTTAATAATCTGGATAATTTCTACCAAAAGCTTCTAAAAAAAACTTGAAACAAATAAAATGAGGAAAACTTCAAGAAGCTAAAAAATCTGAAATAAGCAATTAAAAATTGAATTAAAAGATGTACTGAATAGTTCTTCATATACAGAATGTTAAGATACTGGTGTTGAATATACTTACCATGTATAATAATGTCCAGTTTGCTAGTACAAAATGCCAGTTTACCTCAGGTGAGCAGAACCTCTCATTTCCATATGTCTTTTATTTGTTTTGGATTTATTCTGTTCCATTGAGTCATCTTCTAGAGTGTTAAAATTAAACTTCAGATGAAATCCTAAGAGTCAAATTTTTACCTTGGCTACAGTAAAACCCAGGTTTTAATCTGGGTCTTCTTTCTTCTTAAGACTTACCCTCAGAGCCTTGCTGACGGAGCAACCCCATTTCCTACCCTAAGCCATTTGAGAGTAGCTGATGCTGCACCGTACGGAAGTGGTGTGAAGAGCCAGTCTAAATTCCATCTCTCTCTCTAGTTTCAGAATGGCTGCGGTTATTGCCTTTCCTGGGTGTGCTGGCCTTGCTCGGTTACCTCGCTGTTCGTCCGTTCCTCCCCAAGAAGAAACAGCAAAAGGATAGCTTGATTAACCTCAAGATCCAGAAGGAAAATCCAAAAGTAGTGAATGAAATAAACATTGAAGATCTGTGCCTCACTAAAGCTTACTGCAGGTGTTGGCGTTCTAAGACGGTAAGACACTTCATGCTGCTGTAGAATTAGAGATTAAAACTTGCATATTTTTATCAGTGCTTTAGTGGTGAATTGCTGCATGTTGACCTGTTGTTTTTCTGTGGAGGTGGAGGTGTTCCTGGTTTTTGAGAATGCACAGTTCTTATTTTTCTCCACTGTAAACCTATCGACATGCAGAAAGAAACTGTAGAAACTTGTAAGAAGCACAGTAGGGTTTGTCTAGACATGCTTACAGTGACCACCTGTGAGTAGATTAAAACCAAACAAGCCTTGTTTAATATTTGGAAATATATTGCAACTAATTAGAAGATAACAACTCTGTTTTGCAAAAACAGTGCTTAGAAAGTTGTTCATGTTAATTAGAATGAAAGGAAGGCTGGACCTGTGTTGATGGGGGAGAGCATATCCCCATCTGGTCTAGGGCAGCCAGTAGATGACTGGTTTGGATAGTCTGCGTCTCCTAAATCAACTAGATATACATGAGTATTTTTCATCTACTTTCATTTTCTTTTGAATGTTCTGACTATACTCTGGTTTCTTCCTCTCTGGACTGAATGCTTTCTGCCCTGGACCTAAGAAACCCTCTCACCTATTCTTGCTTCAGATTAATCATTGCAGCAAAGTATTTCAGCTTTCCTTAAAACAGTACTTTCTGGTTGCAAGTGATTAAATCTATTAAGAGCACTTTTATGAGTTCCACAATAAAGCTGAAACCATTTGTGGCTGGTAGGAGGCAAGGAGTTTGATGGGACATAGTAGGAGGAACTAGCAACATTATCACAGTGCTCTTGGCATAGGAAGAAGTATAAAAATCATCATGCAGTTGCTGTACAGAGTTACACTAATTCCTCATGTATCTTTTCTTCCAGTTCCCTGTCTGTGATGGCTCCCACAACAAGCACAATGAATTAACAGGAGATAATGTAGGTCCACTAATACTCAAGAAGAAAGAAGTATAGCAGATGCTTAATCCACTAGATCATGACCAATAAAAAGTCTTTTTATACTGTTGTAGTTGCAGAGGACAGCGTTTTATTATGTGGTTGGTATGATTTAGTCTAATAATTGCTGTAGATTTCTTTTTGGAATAAATTGCATTTAGACAGTGCTAAATCTGTCACTGTTTTGTTACTTTATTCTGAGAAGAATTATGTCTGCTTTGTAAAACTGTAAAGTATCTCTGTAAATAAGTCATTTATTTCAACAATAAATTGACTTCCTACAATTAAGCTTTTTTTGTATGAGCATGGAGTTACGAAACTGTCACTATTTCCAAGTGACAGAAGTGTACCATTCCGTCGATTTTGTTCTGCTGAGAAGCCATGTTTTATTCTGCTTTTCAGGAACAAATCTAAGTGCACCTAAGTGGGGAAAAAAAGATCCTAAGTTTGTCCTTTGTGAATATACCTAAGCATACCACTGAGGTCAGGCAGCATAGTGATGTTAAGCTAGGCGAAGGTCTGGCCCGTGCAGTGCCTAAGTGGGCAGTGTGTTAGTCTCGTGCAAAGCACCTGGCTCAGACAAACCCCACACAGCTGGAAAGTCTCATACAGTGTCTAGGTGGAGTGCTGCAGTTCCAGGCCCTATAAACTAAACTATTGAGAGGTCAGCCACTAACATTATCCCTTTGTTTTGGGCCCCTGTGTTGATCGTTCAGGAGCTCTTGTAAGGAAACACAAATTTGCTTCTTGCAAGTTCACCTGCACTGTAGCCGCTATTTTTTTGTAGCGGGGACTTTCATAGGAGGAATTGGTTAAATGACAGAATCAAGAAAGGGCCGAGCTGTATTCTTAGCTTGTTACCCATTCAGAATGATTACTTGCCCAAGTCAGAACTTTGCTGTGGTATGGCTTAATTTCAGATGCAGGTAAATAATTGCTATTTATCTAACTGCTAGACTTCTAATTAATTCTTTTAAAAAGCTTTATTCCCCAATGAAAGACTATCTATCAATCAGTTTAGAAATAAAAATTCAATCCATGCTACAATTTTAGACAATTGTACTAAGGCAGATTTCAACTGTTCTTTAACAGCATTTCATCTGACTCATTGTTAGGCAGGTGGGAAGCCCCAGAGCGGTGTGCCATTGCCAAAGCTGATCACCACAGTGCTGAAACAGAAAGCGAGTCAGAAAGCGGTTCTCATAATGGCTCTACAGCAGCAGCAATAAAAGTCAGGTAGATCATTCCTCCTGCATTTGTAACAGTTGTAGTTCTAGGTACCTAAACCTCTTGCCTTGCAGCAAAAGATGGCGGATTAGGATGTGATTATATGTTAAATGTCTACTTTTGCAAAATGTGTAATGGAAACAGGGTACAGTCTTTAAATGCCTCATGGTCTTACCTTAATGGATGAGCAAACCATAAACATTATATTAGGATATAACATTTATAATAGAGGAAAATCCATAATGTTGCTAAGTGTCTTATACTCAGTCTTCACTTATAGATGCGGTATATTGAACACCAAGTCCCAGTTCCTGGGTTTGGTGAAGAAATGACTCTGTGAAATGCAAAAGCCCATCTTTAGATTATTTTTTTTTTCAAGCTTTAAAATCCACAGCCTATTGTAGCAGACTGTTATTACGTACAAGTCTGTGTGCGCTTCCTGCTTTTATCTGGATACTTCTGCGTTCAAATAGTTTGATTTCCTCTGAAGTCTGAGAAGTCAACTACATACATCAATCCTGTTCTCGCTTCCGTTGCTCTGCTCAGACAAACCCTGTTAGACTAATACAGCAAAATTGGTTTTGTTTCTCCCACAAAGCTATGCTAAAAGGAGAATGAGAGTGTAAGGTTTAACCTCTTGACTCCATCTCTAGCACAGCTTGATTAGAATTAATTTTTTCTGCCTGCTTGCTGTTAGATGAGATTGCTGCTAAACTATCTATAAATGTGGCTATGGAACAAACAAGGGTGGCTTTTTGTTTGTTTTAGTTTCTGTCTGTAAGGGAATGGCACACACTTGTAGTATGGGCCTGCAGTAGCAGCGCTTAATCATAGTTCCTTTCTAGAAAGGACATTTTAGTAATTTCCACAAGATAATAATAAAATGAAGATCACAAGCAAGATAAATGACCATTTCGTTGCATTTCAAAATCTGTCACTGTAATACTGTCTCTCATGGCCACAGAATTTTCTACAGAAAAATCTCAAAGAATTTACTAATTGGTTCAAATAATCTACCTAAAGCCTATGGGATAGCCAGCCAAGAGCTGAAGTGTCTGCAGAGCCCTGTATCTCACCGCTGGTTGAGAGAGTTGAACCAATTACCTGCTAGGATGTGCTCAGTCATGTCTTGCCACTGGATGACTTTTCTAGCCTAATTGGGATGCTCCCCACAAAGGGATAAATTTGCCCCTAATGCTAATAAAGACCAGGACTGAAGCAGTAAACCTGGTCTTGACAGTCTTGATGCAAAATCAGGGAAACTTGAACTTGGCATGTCATGACATGCCTTTTTACTCTACAAGAACAGTAATGTTTACCTTTCTTTTGATTATGAATTATATAGACTACAACTAAACCTGTAAAACATGTTTAGAGAAAGGTGTCTGACTTGTGGCAACTACTCGACAAAGTAAATGTAATTGAAATGCAGCTGGCACAAAATTTGATCTCTTGCATTCAGTTGATTTAAAAAGCAAAATGCAAAAAACCTGTATCGTTCATTCTTTTGTGGCGATATTACACCATGAGTGCTTCACAGTTAATTTTAGACTTCAGTCTAAATTCCCTAAAACACTCAGTTTGGCTGAAAAAGAGAGAGAAAGCAGTGATTATAATTACATTATTGCTGCATCTCCTGGCCTATGCTTCTCCCTGCTTCCAGATTGCCAATAGCTGTCTTTTTCCATATGCTGCCTGCTGTAACTCTGCCCGCTGCTGGCTGCCAGGAACGTGCCACCAGGCCCTTCTGCTGCAGAGGTTCTTGTGAACCTTCTGGAACCGTGCGCATATACTGTGCTCAGTACTCTCCCACATTATGCCTGTGATTATGTCTGCATGACAGCAGGACCCCTCTGGTTATAGTTTACTGCACATTGTGCTCTAATTTTATTCCCTGTAAATAAGAGACTGACATGGCATAAAGATTTTATTGGCTTGAATTTATGCATTATTCATTAATTTCATGGCATTTTGTTAAAAGGGAGGTGGTCTTAAACGTCATGACTTCACCCACACAAACGCTGATAAAAAGTGAAATTGTATCTCTCAAAGTTAACTGCTATTTAAAATCAGCTGAACGTGTCATGATGCTTATTAAAAAGTCCCAGCTTCTTAGGTTCTTAGCCCCAGTATGACATTTCTTTTCATGACAAGATCCAAGTGTTTTGTTCCTTTCTGGAAGGGGAGGAACATTATAAAGCATAAATGCTTTTCATTTTAGACCTACAGGTCTATGTAATAACTTCAACCTGATTCTTTTTGAAGATTTAATAAAAGCTGGGAGAAAGGGGTCTTGTGAGAAATGTCCACATATGGTGGCAAGGAAAGGAAAATGGATTCAATTTCGTTTAGATCAGCGAACAAGATGACACTTTTCATTGCTTTAGCTATTCAAGCACTCAGAATGGTAGGAGCGTTCTAACGAATAAATTGAGAGTGCACTGAGTTTAAGGGAACATGATAAATCCAATTCATGAGATGCTGGTATAATGGTGAACAAGTATTAGAGGTTATCACGAACAAGGGCTGTTTGTCAGAGGTTTGCTTGCATACTTAAGGTTGTGTTCAAATTTAAAGGGATATAATCCTTAAGTATCACACTTCCGTTATTGATCAGGCTCCAAATTTAGCATAGTGATCCCTCCCTGCAGGAGGATTCTACTTTTTATAAAACTTTATGAAAAAGTGAACTACATAAAGCTTCTACTCTGTAAGTTTTACTCAAGTAGAATTATTTTGTAGAGACAGTCATTGATGAACTGAACACCATATTCCCTCATCTTATCAATTACGTTTACAGACGTTACAAGTTCCAAATACAATAACCTCCTATTAAAACTACCCGTATTTAAGTAACAGAGTGCCTACATCAGCCGTGCAGAGTAGGCAGAACAGGCACAGAAGTCAATGGCTGGCACAATAACCACCACGCGTAGCACCCTAACCATTCATCATTGCGCAGTTTGAAAGCATCATCTTTTCTGGTCAGGGGACAAACGTGAACTGAACTAAGAATTGTACATTCCCCAAGGAAGCAGAGAGAACAGCAGTGCGTATAGTAAGAAAAATATCAACGTACTTGACAAATGTTAGGGGAAAACTTAGAGAATTTCCTGGTATTTTTATCACTGTGCTGGAATTGCAGGCTATGAACCTTAAATATTTCTCAGAAAGCTTTCTTTTTGGCTTGGAGAGGAAGGCATATACAAAGGCACACATACTGAGCTGCAATTAATCCCTATACAGAGGCATTCATGGACACTCTGCAAATAATACCATTCCAGATAGTTTTAAAAGTATTTTTGTACATTCTTGTGTTGCATATTAAAAGTGTAAAAGCTAAAATAGAATTGATTCATTCTTACTAATGCAAAAAATATCTAGACACATCAAATTTATTCTATACAGTATCCTGTAAAATGAGTTTGGTGAACTGTAGTGTAAAAATCTGCAGGGAGGCATTGTCCACCTTACAAGCACAATCTAACATCCTTAATAAAAAATAACACAATAAAACTTCCAGTTTCTGAGGGATGCTGTACTGACTCCATGCCTCAGAATGGAGCTGGGAATGACCTACTTGGAGCTAGTTACTTGTACAAAACATAGCAGAGTAAGAAAGATGGTAAGCTGGTATCTGTTAGTACTAAACCCTAACTGATACCAAAGCTAAAGGCAGGAGCAGGATTTTGATCAGCAGAGTAGGTTTACTCCTGGCTTTAGGACAGCCAAGGAGAAAAAAAAGGAAACTCTTCTAGGAATGGGAAAAATCAAATGTGACCTGTATTGCAACTGACTGTGCAGGAGGCATCTATATTAAATAAAATGAAGAAAGCCACATTTGAGCTTTTTGCTCCCCCTGGTGAAATGTTTTGGCAAGATTTGACACAAGCATTGCCAGTCATTACCATGATCCACAGCTGCACACAACTTGTGTTTCCGGAAAGACCGACAGGATCTGTGGGTACATGCTGAGGGTGCTAGCACTGTGTCACCTGCTTCCTCCTGACACCCACCTTCACACAGCAGCCTTTCTGAAGGTATGTGAGAATGAGGCTCCT